TTTGTAACTCATGTTGTAAGTTATACTTCAATATACATTGAGTTCGTTTATTTTGGTCCTTTATTCGTCGCTGCACTGTTACCATAATTTTGTGATACTCAATCTTTAAGGAAATGTTAATTATTTTGGGTAATCTTAATTAGAACAAACTTAGTATATGTTAGAATTATTCATACTTAAACAATTCTTTTTCAATAAAATTTTTTTATTTTTAATCCCTCAGATATTTGTAACCTGGCGCGTCCCGGACCTTTGATATTTCAAGTTATGAATTCCTTTAGATCAAATTCCACCAGGTTGCAAAGATACAGAAATTATTAAGCTCGAGTTTTACGCAAGTAGTCAGCTGCTGTGTAACAATTACTTTTTAAGTTGTAATATTTTGAACACAGAAAATCTAATTTAAAAAATCAAATCAAAGCAATTAAGATTTTTTCCGGTATATCAGCATTCTGTAATGTTTTTTTTTTTCATTTATCAATGGTCATTTGGCATAAATATGTGAAATTTTTGGTGTCTTTTTTTGGCTGGGTTGAAAAATAAAAATTAGTTTTTTAATTGAGGGGAATCGGATTAGGCTGTTTTTTTGTGTGGGTGGGGTGGGGGGTCAAAATTGAAAATTAGCTTTCAAAACAAAAAAACAAGAATTACATCTCACATAAGCCGTAGATTGTATTAAACAACATCAGAATATTTGTAAGCAGTGTTATTATTTAATTTTATCAAAATTATTGTTTTAATATTAAATACGATGATTGGTTCTGTAATTACTTTAATACAACGGAAAAATAAAAAGATTGTGTCTTATAGACAGCCTAGACAATTACCCCCTCTGTGCCCTCCCCCCTCCCCTCCCACCCCTAACTAAGGATGGAAATGTATGCCCCAGGACCTCATATGCACATACACAACTGATGGGTCAAATTAAAATTTAAATTACTGTAACAAATCAATTTCTGGACCCTCATTAAATAATAATTAATAAATGATAAAAATGAATTTTTGAAATGGATATATAAAGATTTATTAACCTAATTTTGTCTCGTTTATCAATAATTTTTAGATTTTTTATCGAATGAAAAACATTCGGGTATTTTTCATTCTTTTCTTTATACGTGTTTGACATGCTAAGATGGAGTGATATATATTTATCTGGCCTATAAGGAATCCATTCTGTACTTTTCCTTTCCTTCGGTCAAAATCAAACCATGCACTTTCTTTCTTCTTTCTTTCAACATTTTTCAAACAGATTATTGATCAAAGAAAAACATTGAAGGATTCTTATTTTAATAATTCTTTAAAGATACTTTAAAAGATACTTTAAAAGATACTTTAAAAGATACTTTAGCCAAGAATTCCTTTGACCAAAGGTTATTATCCAAGAGTTTTTAACCAAAACTTTGCTAACCAAAGGTTTGTGGACCAAAGGTTTGTGGACCAAGGGTTTGTTAACCAAGGGTTTTTAACTAAGGGTTTTACACCAAAGGTTTTTAGCAAAGGGTTTTGTAAAAATGGGTTTTAACCAAGGATTTTAAACCAAAGGTTTGTTAACCAAGGGTTTTTTAACAAAGGGTGTTTAACCAAGAGTTGTTAACCAAGGGTTGTTAACCAAGGGTTGTTTACCAAGGGTTTTTAACCAAAGGTTTTAAACCAAAGGTTTTTAACCAAAGTTTATCAACCAAGAGTTTATTATTAACCAACGATTTTTCGAACATAGAACTCTATGACCAAAGACTCTTTTACCCACTATAGGTCTTCGACGGAAGAATCTTTTACAATGATTGTTATAAGAATCTTTAACTAAGGAATTCATTCCTTTTTTGTGACCACTCTTTGGAAAAGGCTGTTTTCTTAGACAACTAACTAAAGGAAAGTACACGCATACAATTTAAGAAGCCTGCATCTAAAAAGATGGCAGCGTGTGAAAATTCAAGAATCTCTAAATATATCGATGTTTCTGGTTTACTAGGAGTATGTATAAATGTCTTATACCTGCTGATTGATATTTAGGATCCAATAAACGTAAAAAACGCTTCAACTTTTTAGTGGATTGTCAAATAGCACTTTATAGACAAGGGATGGTTAGTATCTGGTTAAGATTAATAAATGACAATATAATACTAATAAAAAATTTTAACAAATGTAAAACAATTACCGAAAAATATTCCTAGTTTTTATTATTTTCCTAGATCGAGCTTGTTTGGTTTTACAGACGGATTTAAAAACTCATTCTTCATTTCTCCATAGCTCTTCAGGAAAAGAAACATGGGTTAAAAGGATGGAAGAAACTTTAGTTTCATATAAATATAGTTTTCTCATGATGTTGATCCGAAATTCTCATCTCTTGGGTTTCCTTGTTTCTATACTCCAAGCTTGGTGTGCAAGTGTATTGGCGTATAATCAAGTGTTTTCTGATTACAGTTATTACATGGCTCTATGAATATCATAATACGCAGTAACAATGAGAAAATATATAAACGAACATCGATTACAATCTTACATACATTCAATATTATGAATGAATACTACAGGAAGGAGGAGTGGGGGGGGGGATAAATTTGAAAGGGAAAGTAAAAGGGAAAATGAAAGCGCAAAAAACTTTTCCTAATTACTAACAACAAGAGCTAAACATTCGCCACAAACTCAAGTTTTCTAATCCTTATTTCTATGCAACCTGATGTTGTAGACCTTTGATATTTTAAACTTTAAATACCACCAAGATTATCACCATTAGGTTGCAGAGATATAGGGATTAAAAAAATGATTAGTGTTCAGTTCCTTACCTTATACATATTCTTTAAGTATTTAATTTTTAATCTTTAGATATTAACAGGTTGCAAATTTATAAGAACTATAGATTCTGTCAACGAACGTGAAAGGG